AAGAAAAACCACTGGTGCACAGCAGGCCAACCACACAACACACCGGTCACAGCAATGCACTGGTCAGGTGTCTGAGCCATGACCCGCCGGCCATGGGCAGCCCAGAACAGCTGTGAATGTAGCCCAACACAAAATTGTAAATTTACTTAAAACATTATAAGATTTTTTTGTGATTACGTGTCACAATGTATTTAATGTGTGCCCAAGAAAACTTCTTCCAGTGTGGCCCAGAGACACCAAAAGTTTGGACACTCTGATAAACCTACACTATCATAGATCTCACAAATAAAATGTAGACTAAAAGTCTTTCGACTTTTATGAATGTCTGAAAATTTCCATAATAAGAAGTGTCAATGTTAAATGAAAAAGAAATCTACAGTATAGTACCATTTAGGAAAATTGAAAACACCCACAAAATAATGTGACATCTTGAACAAAAATACAGATATACCCAAGAACATATCCAGTACAGGATTGGAGGCTCCTCTGGCGGAGAGGGGAATAGCAGTGGGGGAAAAGGAGAAAAATAAAATAGAACAAGCAAGGAACATTGCACAGGGAGAGACTCTTATGCCAAAAACTCAGGAAAGTTAACCAACCCTCAGCACCAGAAGGTAAAGAGAGATAAGAACCACCAAAGCTAGCACAGAGGAAAGGCCTTCTGAAGACACAGCAAGAAGGTCTGCAAGCCAATGAGAGAGGTCTCAAGAGAAACTAACTCTACTGGCACCTTGTTCTTGGGAATCCAGCCCCTGGAATTGTGGGAAAATTAATTTCTGTTGTTTGGCGGGGGGGCATGGACAAAACACCACACCGAAGCTTTCTCTAAATGTGCTTTGCAGGGAAGTGGGCAGATCAGCTTGCATGAGAAGGGAAGGGGGGATCTTTCTGAAATACAAGCTTGAGGTAATTTCAAGCCCCCAGAATCCAACGTGCTACTGAGCTCTGGATTTCCCCTCTTTGACATATTAGTATTTGTAAAGAAGCAGGGGTTCTTGGCTTTAGGCAAAAGGGATGTGTGTCTAACTCTGTGTCTGGGTCTCTTTTCGGTGTGTCTGTAGATCTGTGTGTGTGTATGTGTGTGGCATGTTTATTTGTGGAGAGAAAGAGGACCTGGGAGGAGGGCAGAGCACTCCAGGGGAGGATGAGCCACACTTGATCAGTCATTCGATTCCATTGTACTGACACCATAGGTCAGAGTCACAAAACTAAGCCATCTTCCTGTCCCCACTAGCCCTTCTCCTTTCCTCACCATCCCCTCACCCACATCCAACACTGCTTCCCAACTCCCACATCCAAAAGGGCTGATCCAAAATATGGTCCTCTGGTAATTACTTAGCTTATTAAAGTAACTAACTTCGCAGCCCAAAATCTTGGAATGTGATAGGAGATGATAAATGATGACTTATATTCCACACCAAGAGCCTTGATCAGAAACTCCAAAATCCTTAAGACCAGGAATACCATACAGGTCTTCCAGAAGAGATTGCTAACTATAGCTACTGTTCAAAAAAAAGGCAGAGAAAAAGCCATCTTTACTCTGTCATGTCCCCATGAGGGCACACTGGTCAGAGGTTTTCTCAAGGGCCATCAAGGAGTGTACCGTATAAAATGGTGAGAAAGTGTATGGGACACTCAGAAAAGAAAAATCCCACTGGTTGAATTTATGTGAGAAAACGCAATGGATTCTGGCAGCAGCCTTAAGTAAGCAAGGCCATGCCAGGAAAGTATTAATATGTCTTTAGGGGAAGAAGAAATAGCTACACAACTGGAGGAAGGAGCATCATACCTAAAGTGAAATAAAGGAAGAAAGAGCAGACCAAACACTTGCACTTCCCCAAAGGCTGTGGGGAGCACACCCTGTGCAAACAATCCTGAATTTTTATTCCCCAAACACTGTCTTGTCTTTTCTACAGCAGCACTTGCCACTGGATGGCAAAGGTTTGGGAATTCCAGGGTTTTCCTGAAATGCTCTGTATAAAGTAAAGTTTTGTTAATAAAGTACTTTTGATAGGCAGCTGGTATACTTTTTAGTTTAAAAAAACGTGTGACACCTATATTTAAGAATCCTTTGGATTTTCATGAGATACGTTAGCAAACCACGCCTATGTTTTTCCAGCTGAGGTGCAGGATCTGTCACAATTTGAAAATTGGGGGAAAATGTATAAAAGCGTTGAGTTTTCAAGCTAAAATTGAATGTTATGGTCAATCCTGGCAATTCTGATTTAAGAAAACATACAAAGTTATTTAAATGTCAAAACTGACAAGCTTCTGTTATGAAAACATCTTTAAATTACAGCTTAATAAGCATTTATTGAGTATCTTCAAGTTAGGCACTGTGGAAGATGATAGGGGTCCTCCAATGAAGACGACACTTTTGATAACTATGTCCCTCTAATGTTAGTTTAATACATCCCTTAGATTTTTTAAATGCCTTCTGATATTTGAAATAACTGACAACCATCATTAAAGAGCTGCAGAATACATCTCACTATTTTACTAAAAATGTAAATTTCTAGTCTCTAAAGCAGAAAAAGAAGGAAAAGACAGTATCTCTGCTTTACATATTGCTATCATTTTCTGCAGAAAAACCAATGACTTCAACTGTGTATGGTGGCAGCTGCCGCCTCCAGCTCTCCAGCAAGTCACAGAACTGGAGAGCATCAAAAGCATGCTGTTGGGTTGGCCAAAAGTCCTTTTAGTTTTTTCCATAAAATAAAAGAACACATTTTTCATTTTCACCAATAAGTTTATTGATTTGGATATTTTGAGCATGTCGGCTATCTCCCACTATTAGTTTCCAGTGGGTAGAGGCCAGGGATGCTGCTAAACATCTTCCAAAGCATAAGACAACCCCACAGCAAAGAATTATTTGGTCAAAATGTCAATAGTGCCAAGAAACTTCACAAACCACTTTGACACATTTGATCAGTCACACTACCTTCTCCATACACTGCACAAATCTTCTTTTGCATTTCAGTTGTGTTTTTACCTTTCTTGAAATAATAAAGTATAATATGCCAAAAATGTATATTTTATTATATCTTTAATATTAAAATAGCTACACAAAAATTCACCAGTTTTGATAAGTTTTTTTAATGCACACTGATATGACAGCTGTCACAATACAATCTAACAAAATTGTTTTGAATGAAGTTAAAGACAACTAAGGGCTACTAGAGCCGTCTTAAGAAAAAAAAATGAATTTTTTGTCCAACTCAATACATAGTTGAAGAGAAGCAGTAAAGAAACCCAAAAGACCAGGGCTTCCAGACCTAAACAGAAAGCAAGATACAGAAAGTGAGCTGCAATAGGCAGAAGGCAGCTAGCTTTTGGAGGTTCCCCCAAAGCTGGCGCCTCCAACAGCGGGCACAAGCTGCTGCCACAGGCTTGCTAGCTTGCTTGGACAAGGCATGGCTTCAGAGCTGGAAGGCTGCCACCTGCTGAATCACCAAACATCCCTGGGCTTCCCTTGGAGCACTGACCAGGCAGGGCCCCATCCCCCGCCTAGCTTCTCCTGTGGACATCTTAAGCCCAACCAATGAAACACCCTTCTGTACAAGCCAAAACAGCCGCCAACCCCATTAAGTCTGTGCTGCCCTAGGCAACTCCCATCTCATTGCTACGTCACCAGCCCACTCCTCTCTTTCTGCCCACTCAGTCCCCCCAGAATGTTCAAGCCCCAGAGCCAGGAAGCGTGGGGAGTTCACAGCACATCATGACAGGCACTTAACACTTCCATATCCAGGCAGCCAACCAGAAATACCCCCAAGTCTGAAAACAAAATAACCTGTGCAAACAGCTTTAAAGGTCCAGAAAGGTAAATGTCAAGAGAACTAAAATAGTATGCAGGCCCCATAACAGAAAATAAACTTCCCTTTCAGAGCGCAGCCTTCACTCTTGGTTTCATAAGCGTGTACAGCTTAAGTCTGTACTGCTTGAAGGTTAAAAGAAACATCTGAGAAGCACCTGCATGGATGCTCTTCACTCCCTCCAGCATGTCAACCCTTGTCCCGATTTCTACTCGCGACTCCCAAGAGAGAAACAAGCGTTAACCAGAACGCGCCAGGCTGAATCCGTTAGCTGGACCAGGACACCTAGTCCGCCCACCAGAAGCTGCAAACCCGAACCTGGGTTAAGACGATGGGAGACACAGCCGCTGCTGTAGCTGCGCTGCCCTTGACAAGCGCCTCAGAATCACGGAGACCCCCTCACTCAAGGGGACAGCCACGTCCCGGAGAGACTGTCAAGTTTCAGGGTGGGCCCATGCTCCTCCAGGCCTTACCCCTAAACACCCTCCTCCAGCAGGGGCAGCCCAGCGGTATTTCAGAGCCTCCTCCTACCTAGAGGCTGTTTTTCGTTCAGCCGAGGGGAGCTTGCTCCTAAGCGAATGAGGTCCAAGCTGCTATGTTGTAGGGGGCCACGGAGGCGGGGAATGATTGGAAGGATCCCGACACCCTGGGCGCCTGCCCGGCTGCGATCTGGCCCAAAGGTACCAACTGTCACGCCGCCGCCCCGGGTGTGGGGGTGGGGCTGTGATTTAGGGTCGGTCCCTGTGGGTCTCAGGACCCTGGCTGGGCCACTGCCCGAAGAAGACCCGTCTCCCATGTCTTTGGCCCCACCACCGTCCGCTCGCCAGGATCGGACATTTGGCAGTCTTCCTGCTCGCACGCATCACCTCTGTAAAGGTGCCCACTGACGCCCCCACCTTCCTCCCCGCCCCAACTTGGTCCGGGAGCCCCTCAGGCGGCCCACCCCCTCCAATTCCCCGAGCTCGGCAGACCGACAGCCCCCAGCGCCTGTCCTTTGCGCCTACCCCCTGAAGCGGCGGCGCGGGGGGAGAACCCGCCAGGTACGCGCGCGGCGCGGCGCTGCACGGGTTATGCTCACGCCCCCTATCCCCCCCTCGCACTCCCCTCCGAGGAGTCAAGCCAGGCCCGTAAGACGGGTGTCCGATCGGCCCTCCGAGATCGGCTTTCTCCCCACGCCCCACGACTCACTAGCACCGGAGTCGCGGCAGCCGCCGGAATTCCGCTGGCCAAGCCCCCCGCCGCGGGATGAAAGCCGGAGCAGGGCACTGTCGGGGCTCTGCACCCTGATCCCGCTCTCTGGCCGGTTCGCCGGGAGCAAGGGGAAAGCAGCCTTCCCTGGCCCTTCCCGCTCCCGTCCGTGACCGCTGTCGCCGCCGCCCCTGCCTCTGCCTCCCCGGTGCGAACGCTTCCGACTTTGCCACCGTGAGCCTCCCGGGCCGCCGAGCATGCCCAGTCCGCCACCGGAGACTGCCCGGGTTCCCGCGCGACACAAATCCGCAACTCCGGGTGTTCACGACGGCCGGGAGGGCGGGGCGAGCGGGCGGTGCCGGGGGAGGGGGGACTCTTCTCCGGACCGAGGGAAACCCGGGCCAGGCTGCGTAAGGAGGTGCAGCTGGGGTTTGGCCCCTTTGTTTTACTTTTAATTAGAAGCTCGGTAAGCGAGCGTTCTTCCCAACGACGAGAAAGGCACCGCTTGCACTATTGTGGGGGGCCGTTTATTGAAGCCAGGAGGAAGCCCATTTTATGGTCACAAGCGGTATACCACTTGAAGCAGAGCCAGAGCTTAACAGCTAGAGCTGGTCAGAACAGCTAACGCAAACTCGACCTTCTGGAGTCTGGACTCTGGGGCACAAGTTTACGAGCTATCCGAGGATTCTCTCCACCCAGCCTAAGAACTGCGACACTTGTTATTAACTTCTCATTGAATGTTTATTAAAAAGGGGGCGGGCCTAGAACGCTACAGACCATTTTCAAATTTCTATTAACAGGCGCGCTTTCCAAAAGCTATAAAGCCGCCTCCCGGGTGAACCCCGCAAAACCGCTCAAGTCTGAGACGGCAGGACCAACAGCCCTCCGCGAAGGCGATTCTGGGCGCCTCCGGGCCGCCCCGCCCGGTCCTGGCCCCACCTCCCACCAGCCCCTCAGAGTTGCGGAGAAAACCTGGAGAGCGATTAGCTCGGACTAAACACTGCGCATGCCCAATAGCCGGATCTGGTGGAGGTTGCCTAAAGGAAGGTTTTCTTCGAAGGACCCCCGTGCCCAGGTTGGGGACAAACAACGGAGACAGGTGGCGTTGCGCCGTGGCGCCCTTTCTCCTGGTCCTCCTGCGCGACACCCCTTTAGCGGAAAGACTGAGGGGGCTGCGCCTCGCGCGGTGTCAAAGACTCAACTAGCGGGGCTGGGGGTGGGGGTGCGCACGGCGGTATCGCCGAGACACGTGACTGTCCGCGGTGCTTCGGGCAGCCATCTTCCGTCCGGCCGGCGGGCAGCGGGCGTGCGGAGCGGACGCAGGAGCCCACGGGTTTGGGGCAGAGCGCCCTTCTCCCCAGCACGCCTTCTTGCAGGGCTCAAGGCTCCCAGTCGCGGCACCTGCCTCGTCCGCCCAAGGCGCCGGAATCGTTGCCTTGGCCCTAGGTTTTCCTGCAGGGCGGAGGAGCAAAGTAATGACTATGAAATGCATAGGGTGGACTTCGAGGGCTGATGATCTCTGCTTTCCCCAGAGGTTAAAGTTGGAGAAAGGGTCCCCTTTCCCTAAGGTAGTGACACCCCTGCTCCAACTAACTTCTTGTTCTAACCCATTCCCTGCAGAGGAGATGTGATGTGTTGGCAGAAACATCTGGACAGATTCTGTTGCTCGTCCGTGCATGCAGTATCCCACAGTCCCTTCTGGGGGACAACTTGGATGATGATAGTTGGAGTGAATATTTATGGAGCTCCTGCCACATAGCACTTGGGGTCCCTGTGATCATAGGCCCAGCCTTGTCACCATCATAAAAGAATTTGTCAGAATTGCAAAATTCTAGACCTATGGGTCGGATCCTGCAGTCTCATGAACGAAGCCCTCCAGGTGGTTCTCTTAGACATTTTATTTCTCGATTCCAACTGAACCTCAGGTCAACCTACTTTACAAATGCAGCATTGAAATTTTACATAGCTGACCCTGTAACAGGGGTGTTGAACTCGTTTTAACTTGGGGCCACATCAGCCTCCTGGATGCCTTCAAAGGGTGAATGTAATTTTAGGACTGTATAAATGCAACTACTCAACTGTTAAGGGAGAGTTCCAAGCTGCCACCAGGTAGAAGCCAGGTAAAAACAAGGTGCGGGGCAGATAAAACAATGTGGAGGGCAGGATTCATCCCACTGGCCTTGTGTTTCCACCTGTAATCTAACCTAATTGCAGTTGTAGCCTCTCCCAGGAATGTAACTTTTAACCACTTAATCTGGAATCACCTGATCCACACTAGTGAGGTAATCTGATTGATAGACCCCAATTCTTCCCCCAAAGAAAGGTGACCTTGCCTGAAAGAATATACTTCTTGTTAGAAACTTGCTTCTCTTGCCCCACTTCTGCCTTTAAAAGCCTTCCATTTTTAATTTAATCTTTATTGTATTTCTTCCATGACCATTTTGTCCCCTTCTACGTCCTTTTCCCCAGCAATCACCACTCTGTTGCCCTTGTCCATGAGTCCTTTTTCCTTTGTCCTCAATCCCTCCACCCCCTAACTTCCCCCCAACACTGACTACCTGTCATCTGCTCTCCATCTATGAATCTATTCCCATTTTCCTTGTTTAGTTTGTTCATTAGATTTCACATATAAGTGAAATCATACCATATTTGTCTTTCTCTGACTAGCTTTTTTCACTTAGCATAATGTTCTTCAGGTCCATCCGTGCTATCGCAAAGGGTGAGATTTTCCTTTTTATGGCTGAGCACTATTCCATTGTGTAAATGTCCCATAGTTGTTCTATCCACTTATCTACTGATGGACACTTTGTACAGCTCCTCAGAAATCTTTTCTGTTTGATAGGTGGGATGCTGCCCAATTCATGAATCTTTGAATAAAGCCAATTTGACCTTTAAATTCACTCAGTAGAATTTTGTTTTTTAACAGATTTAGTGGCAGTGGTGGCATCCAAAGCAAATTTCTGACAGCATTTGCAGACAAGAAACACAGCCATAGCACCAGCAAACCCCTTTTGAGTTACCTGTGTTTTCATTTCCAAGGGCCATGGATAAATTCTTCTTTGTTCCAAGCTCTGTTGTCTTTGCATGAGCTTGCAATCTAATTGGCTTTTCAATACAAGGCAAGTCAGCTTGAGCTGGCAGATGGTTCTGCTGTTTCTGCCCAAAGCCCAAACTTTATTTCAGACCACAATTCTCATTTATTTGGTGGAAAATTCCAGCCATTGATTCTGTCCCAGCGGTTCCACACGGGGACTGTTATTGGCAGTTTTCAGTTCCTTATTTATTTGGAGCCCCTAGTCTGTAGTCCCCACTTGTTAAGATTGGGTGGTTCAATTTTTTTTTCCCCAGTGCAAGAATCCACATTACGAATATCTGATGCTCACAGAAGCATCTCTTGACCAGGACATGGTAACATCTCTTGGTTATTGCTGATATGTTAAGGTGCAAGTATTTGTCTTATTTTGTGTAGATAAGGCTATTATTGCTAATGGGAATCTCAAAAGCAGTTGCAAAATTGGTTAGACACAGGTCAAGCATTCAGGAGCTGTTACAGCACTTGCCTCCAAACTCAAAGACTCCTATGTTAGGATAAGTTGGTCATGGAACAGATTAGAATGCCACTAGGACACCTGCCAACCTGAGGGAAATGTCCATGTAATGAGGTGTACTATAAAACACCACACAGTATCCAACTCAAAGGCACATCCCCCATAGTTACTAGTTTGGCTCCAAAAAACCCAAAGCCTAAATAAACAAAAAAATAAATAAAATTGGATCTTTAAAATCCAAGGAGTTAAGCACACCATCTTCTGACACACCTGCTTCCTTTATGTCTAAAAAGACATAAAAGTCCTGGAAGCTATAAATAGCTACAAAAATGGCAAAATCTACAATTATGATAGCCATTACAAGGAACATTCTAATTACATAAGATGATTTAAGAAGTACTCTTAAAACAAGGGCTTGCAAATTAAACAGAATGGCATACCTATTTTAATTGGTATGTGAAGGCTTCAAAATTCCAAAGTAACTTCATTGACAAATGTTTTGTAAAAGGCTAATGAAAAATTAATATATGAGATAACCTAAAGCAAAAAGACTACAAGACTGACATAACTCCAATTGCTCCCCTCTGTCCTTCTAGTAATTCTCTGTATGAATTTCCTTTTTACTCTGAAAAGATTTTCGGTCAGTTACTTTTTAAAATAAGACTTGAGACTACAGGCGATCCATCCTCTTTAGGTATCTCATGCCTTGGTCAAAAGATGAACTAAGGACCATAGTTTAAATGTTTTTTCCAAACTCAGGGAGTATCCTCAAACATTTTTGTAAATGGATTATTTCCTGAGATTAATGGATTGCTAAAAAGGAAGGATACAGGATGAAGTCACCATTCTGACTGAATTCAGACCATAGCTGAGCACTTTGAAAAGACTTTGTTTAAGAGTAAACTAAAGTCTCAAGACTTGAGAACAAAGACTTTTCAACGTCTACCTGTAACCAAACACAGGTCCGGCTGCCTGCCCCAACAAAAGCGAAACTTGTGAGAGAGGTGCTGGTGAGAAGGAAATTGGTTTATTCAGATGCCAGCAATCTGAGAAAGTGGGAGACTCTTGTCTTAAAACCCATCGCAATGGCTCAGTGCAGGCAGAGGTTTTTATGAGTAGGGAGAGGGAAAGCAGAACAAAGAGTTCAAGGGAAGAGGGCTGAAAAGTTCTCTATGCGCAGACTAGCACAGTCCATTCTGATAAGGACCTTGAAACTTCATCTGGTGTGTATCATCCTTGTTTTCAAGCAGATCATCTGGTGTGTATCATCCTTGTTTTTGTCATCCTGGTTGAAGGCCAGCAAATCTTCCAGAGCTGGGATAACTGAAGGTAAGAGTCTGTATCTTTTGGAGTTAATTTCTAGGATTCTTATACAAACATGCTGTTTATCTATAAGCTCCCTATTAGTCAAAGTCAGCATTTACAAAAACAATGTCAAAAGAATGGCAGGGAGGGTTACAATTCCCCACTGTTAACATACCAAGTTAATTGCCTTACAGAGAACCCCCATATCTACCCACAAAGGAGGGCCCTCATATCGGCCTCTTGCAGAGTTGAGGAGATTCTGAGGGATTTTCTGGTAAACTACATTATTCTCTGAAATGCTAAGGGGAAACTAAAACTAAAATTCATGAAAAGCCTTGCCAAATTCTGGGAGCTACAGGAGCTATACACCCTCTACTTTTGACCCCACTCAGAGCCTGCAGATGAGATCCTAGGAAAAGTGGCAAAAGCCAACTAAATGTGAGAATTCTTACCAGAGTAATCTCTCCCAAATGTCTGTAGTACCCAATAAAGAGAGGGAGAAATAAAATGTCTTTTGCATCCTCTTTGGGATATACCTTTTGAATACAAGAGGTTGTTCAATGCCACCTCAAATACTGCTTGTTCTGGCTGAAACCTAACAGAATATTTGAAAAGATTTAGTAACTTGATGATCAGAAATTTGCCCAAATTGGAAGCTGATATTCAGAGCCTAATGGGAAATTTTTTAGGCCTCCTCTCCTACGCTAAATGTATTTAGGAGGGAAGAAAAACCTTCTAAACCCCATGTACAAGGATTTATGAGTGGATGAACCTATGATGTCACTTAGGTTGCAACTCAACTATTGGAGGAATAAAAAAATTGCCCCTATCTTACAAATCTTTACAAAACCAAAAATGTGTCTCTGGACACAAAGTCCACCTATTCCTTTTGCCAATCCCCAAACTGCCCCATTTACCTCAAAAGGCTTGCAAGTACTGTAAAATTTCCAAACTTAGGAAACCAAAATCCTTCTTGGAGTAAGTTGTATTCTTTCCCCCTGTGCCTTTCAGATTTGGGTGTTCTGCAAACTTCAGGGAAGTAATTCTTATTAGAAGAAGAAAAAAGTGGGAGAGGTCATTTGAAATCTGGATGGATAAAGGATCATGTGTCTTCTGCAAAAATATTAGTACAATGCTTTAGCCATAAAAACAAGTAAAATTAACTTAGGTAGGTTTATAATTTAGCTAGATTTTCACGTAGGACTACGTGAAACATAGGTTTTTCCCTTGTATTATCATTTATTAATTATTGTATTATTTATTTGTATTACAACCGTTAATCTACTTTTGCCCACCCCTGTATTCCAACTGCTGAAACAAAATCTGGATCCAACTGTTCCTTTATAAATTAGTGAGTTTTACATTATTAGAGAAATTTTAGAATGAAAGCAATAAGATTTCTGTTTCATCTGTTCATCTTTTTTTTGCATATATGTATGTTGTAAATGTATACTATTTTTCTACCTCCAGACAGTATTGCCAAAATTAACATGTAAAAGAGCTTATTTGATTAACAATTTTAAAATTAAGTGCTTACATAATTAAACTCTCAGAACTATAATAGAAACTAAGTCAATATTTTTCAAGTTCACATGACCTAAAATATCTTTAGGAAATAAAAGCTAGTTTAAGTTTGTTGGTTTAAATAAAACAGGTATGTCTTCAGAGTTATTGGCATTAAAAATAATGCATATGTACAAAATATTCATTCTACCTGGGTTTATGAAACGTCCAGTAAGTTTATATTATATCTGTTGTAAAGTCTTTCAGTAAGAAAAATAGCTTGAGATGATGGCTGACCTTGTCTACTATCTCATGAAGTTTTTGTGGCTAGTCGAAACATAATTGTTAGGAACAAGTAAATTAAATAGATGTAAGTGGGACAAGAGATTTTTAGGTGAAGTTTTCATGTAATTTCCCTAAATCTTTTGGTTAACCGGGCATTCATTGAATATCTAGATTTTTTAAAAGATTTTATTTATTTTTTCCTAGAGAGGGAAGAGAGGGAGAGAGAGAAACATCAATGCACGTTGCTGGGGGCCATGGCCTGCATCCAGGGCATGTACCCTGACTGGGAATTGAACCTGCGACACTTTGGTTTTCAGCCCGCACTCAATCCACTGAGCTTTGCCAGCCAGGGCGAATATCTAGATTATTTTTAAATAAGATAAAATACTGAAACATTAACTACTGAATAGGCTTATCTAATTTTAGACTCTTATTGCTTTTGAAGAGAGAAAGGGGGAGAGAGAGAGAGAGAGAGAAACGTCAATTTGTTGTTCCACTTATGTATACATTCATTGGTTGGTCCTTTTATCTGTCCTGAGGGGGGATCAAATCCGCAACCTTAGCATATTACACTTTTGACTTTGTATTGCCAAGAAATTTAAGATATTCAGGTTTGTTAGTAAACACATTTTGTGCTACATTGAAACATTTACTGTGAAAAAGTCGTATGTTTCTAAAAAACATATATTTTAAAATTTGTCTATTAAGTGAATGAGTTTTAATATCAAAAGTAAGTTGGTACAAATTTAGAATTTGGTTTTCTCCCTGTTAAAAGGACAGAGTTTTCTCAGACTCTTGGTCTGCTCTTGATTAAAAGTTGTAAAACATTTCTATTTACCTTTGAAAGTAATCTGTCAAAAAAAATGAAGATTCTGTGTTTTGTCAAAATAATTTGTGGTGTTTATCAGGTCTTTAATTATTTAAGAAAGATGAAATCTTCTCTGTAAAAAATTAAGGTTTCTTTTAACAATTACTTAACTTTTTGTATTTGTCTGCAAGGTCTTTGTCATTGTGGTTAAATATATAACTAAGTACTATTTCACAGTGACCTATGATCCTATATGACCAAGTATTTTTAAACCTTTTGATATGTTCTACAAACTTCCCAAAATCAAATTATAAATAAAGTCTTTATGACCTCAGACTAACTTTGAGATGTTCCAGAGCACTCCTGGAACATCTCAAAAGATTTTTTTCTCCTTATAAAAAGAGAGATGTTAAGCTAATTAGGCTTATTTGATATGTTGAATTACATTGGAAACATTGTCATATAAGAAGTAATACTAAGCCTTCCTTATGTTGTATTTATATAGATATATGTTATAAGTGTTCCAGAAATTGTATGAAATTCCTAAAGTCTGATATGTCCTGGTATAAGGTTGTCATCATAATTCTAGTTCTTATTTTTAAATGTTTTGTGTCACAGAAATAGCCAAATTTTCTTGTCAATTCCATTATAATGAACTCTCATGTCTTGAGTAGTGAGCATCTTTAAGTCTTTTTGAGGCAATTATTGTTTTACTCTGATGCTTTTATAAAAGTGTTCCTGCAAAAGTGCTTCATATTCAAGGGGATTCATTGGGATAATTTTGATATGTAAAGGTTTCTGATAACTTTCAGATCATAACATTTAACAGGATAAGAATTTTTGGGAACTAGTGGAAAAACTGGATTTAAGCAGAAAAAGAATCAATAAGATGGAACTAAATTAACTGAAAATGATTATAATTTTTAGGACTCTATGTTTGGAACATTGCTGGTTCTTGAATGGGTTTTTTTTTCCTATGTGAGGAAACTTTTTCTCTTAAACTACACATGCCTTACAACAATCTGAAAAAAGTTTACCTTTGTAAACACAGACAAAACATTTACCTTTTCTCCCTACCTGATCCTTCCAGAATTTAGAAACTCTTAAGTATTCTGTTCATGGTAATATAGTTATTTGCATAAGTTTAACAAGAATCTGTTCATGTTGTAACAGGATACAATTCAAAATATTTGCTTTATTACAAAGGTTTTGACTGGACTGTCATATTTGAGAGAGATCTGTGTAGACTCAGATATGATTAGGCAGTGTGAAGGAACTAAGGTGATTTCATGGAGTCAATAAAGCCCCTTGAAAAAAATCAGCCTGGTATCTTGTTTACAGGTTATAGCAAAACCGTCTTTAAAAAGCTTATGTAGTCAGTCACTACTCTTGCTGCACTTATGTAAATAATCAGACCAAGTTTAATGAAAACCAATTACCATCTTTTCCCATGTATAATGCACACCCACGTTTTTGGCCCAAACTTTCAGGAAACAAATCTTTCATTTTAATTTTTTAATTCAATTATTTATTTATATTTAGATTATTGTTTTTTATTATAAAGAAATTTTAGAATTTATTTTTGTACAGAGTATGGTACAAGAAATTTTATGTAACAAATAATTACAAAACACAAGAACAGTTCAAGGTATTTCAGGTACTACCCATGTAAAATATGCATCCTTATTTTCCCCTCAAAAATTTGGGCAAGAAGTGCACATATACATGGCAAAATGCGGTATTTTTCTGTAATCACCTTTGAAAAAATGAAGGTAGTCATAGAGAGAAATACTATCTTTACACCTTTGTAGGTTTTAGATTCTGCTTCTATTAATTGTCTTTGAGGTTTTGTTATATACCTATAAAATGGCCTGTATCCTGAATTACTCTAGTTTCCTCAAATATCTGCCTACAAATCTCTAAATTAATATATCTAATTTTCTCCCAGCCTTCTGGTTTGGAAGCATGAAGAACAAAGACTGTGCTTCAATCTCCTTGGAAGGGACAGGATGACACCAGATCCTTCTCATTACCTAAATGGCAGCCAAATTTCAGGGACTTCAACCTCACATATACATCTCAGTTGGAGAAGGCTCCCCCTGACGTCTGGTCTGTTACAAACACCAGAGACCTCCAAATCTAATTGACTAAGGAGAGAAATAACTGACATAAAGATAGACTGCTTCCTCCCAAGACACCAGATCAAGACTCCCTACTTTAACTAAACATGAAACCCTTTCTTCTTCCCTTTCTTTCTTACTTTGACATTGGCCTGGAAAGATAATGCCATCATTCACATCTCCCACATCATTGCTAAGGGGCGTCACTTTTCAAACTTACAGATTTGTCATCAACAATTCTGATCTGTCCATTAACAGTGCCACCTAAGGAGTGGTTTGTGCACCAACAAGATTTATCTTTGTCTGTGGTGGTTATTATTCTCCTTGGGCCTACGAATGCTTAGATAGCCGGTGCATAACCAGTCAATACCTCTTAGGGTATCTAATTGTGCTCCTCACTATCCACAAACAGAGATACCTCATTGCTCAATGCACCTAAATTTACCTTGTTGGGTTAGAAAGTTACTAACAGGAGGCATTTATGATTCAGGATTCACTTCCCATTGGCAAAGCACTACTAAATATAAGTGTAAATGAAGCTATGATCAGGAACCTCTCCTTAACTCTTGAAAGTATTACAGAATTCACTGCTAAGGCAGTACTTGCTTCAGAAAAATTCTTAAACTCTGGCTACGGTTGATCTTAATTATCTAGAGTAGTCCTTGATTATCTTTTAGCTGAGCAAGAAGTTGTGCTGTGGCCAACACTACCTGCTACACCTGGATTAACATATCTGGGGAAGTTGAAACTCAATTATATAAAACCACTGAGCAAACCACTTGCCTTTAAAAAGTGGCTCTGTGCCCCGACTGGTGTAGCTCAGTGGGTGGGGTATTGTTCCACAAACTGAAAGGTTGCCAGTTCAATTCCTGGTCAGGGCACATGCCTGGGTTGTGGGCCAGGCCCCCAGTGGGGGTTATGCAAAAGACAACTGATTGATGTTTCCTTCCCTCTCTTTCTCCCCCTTCCCCCAACTCAAAAATAAATAAATAAAATCTTTTTTAAAAGGTAGCTCTGCAACAGGATCTTTCTTTGACTTATTTGATTTTGATTAGTTTGGGTCTCAGAGACCATCGATCCAAAGTGAACTTGAGAAATTAGGAATTTTCCTACTTATAGTAATCATAGTAATCTCTCTAGAACACTATATTCTCTCAAAAGCTTTAAAGGTTTGTTCAGAGCCACTATACACCAAGCAAATGATCTTCCTAAAACTGAAATGTCAGAAAAGAAATGAAGAGAATGACCAAACTAAAATTGTAAATCTGAAGTTGTGGTTTGTGAATACCATGGAGATTAAGACCACACAATGGATCAATAAAAGCTTTAAAAACAACAGAGCTGTAGCTAAGCGTGGCAGTAATGCCTTAAAATTTGATAGCATGTCTCAGTTAAGAGCCGGAACAAAAGGGAGAAATTGTTAAAGAAAATAGACAACAGGTCCCAAATGGAGTTACTTGTGCTAAGGCCCATATCAGCAAACCAAGGCTTGGTATCTAACCTAGTTGCAATTTCCCTTTCCCAGTAATGTAACCTTTTAAAAAAGATTTTATTTATTTATTTATTTTTAGAGAGGGGAAGGGAGAGAGAAAAAGAAGGAGAGACATTGATCAATTGACTCTCCTCTGGGGACTGAACCCACAACCCAGACATGTGCCCTGACTGGGAATTGAACTGGCAGCTAGTAATGTAACCTTTAACCAGTCAATTTGCAATTACCTGATTAGTACTAGTGAGGTAATTTGTATGATAGACCCTTTTCCCTCCCCCAAAGGAAACAATCCACTTATGGTTAGAAGCTTTCTTTTCTCACCAGCTTTTTCCTATAAAAGACTTACATTTTGTACATTGCTTCATAGCTCCTTTATGTTTGCTAGATGATATACTGCCACAATCGTGAATTGTTGATTAAAGCCAATTTGATCTTTAAATGTTTTCAGTTGAATTTTGTTTTTTTAACAACAGAAACAGAAAAAAATCTAAAAATAAATTGCAAAGGTAGTAAAAGTAAATTCTGGGTGAAGTCAACTCGAGTCTTGACCCTCCCTGAAATTGAATTTAGCAATGGTCCTTAAGTCATTATTGTTTGTGACCCCCAAAGTGTTTTAATAAAAATAATTCTTCCTCTCCCATTCACCTAACCCTGCAGAATTTTACCAGTGCATTTGGATCAAAATTTTAATAAGTATCACATTGCTTGATTATAAAATTTCATAATTCTCAAGTATAGAATATCATAAATTACAATGTTGTCAAGACAACTATGAAATAGAAATGAATCACCTCCAAGTCACAATCTGTCATTAAAATACATTAAAAATAATACTAAGAACAAATACTGGGGCAAACAGTTCTCTTGCCAAAAGAGCTATTCTCAAGTAGATATTTAACTCCAGATGAATGACTCCTCTATCTTCGGAAGATAACCTAATTTTAAAAAATTATATCCAGTTGACCTTTAAGCAGCAGCCATCACTCACCAATTGTAACAGAGGTCTGGCCAGATCGCGGGGCAGAGGGGAGGGACGGCCGAGAGGGACTGGGAAGCGCGGAAGGCAGGGGATTAAAATTGGTACAGAAACTGCATGACATGTTTCCATACCCTGGGGAAAGTGTAAACAAGTAACACAGCCCATGACACAACTTACACAGCATCTGTGCAGGATGAACAGGTCACAACACCTGTGTACCATGAGGGTGAACACGGTGATGCTCCACCTGAAGCAGAGATGCTGTGCCTCTGAACGAAGCTAGAAACCCTCTTAACCCCTGTGGATCATGGCAGCAGGAAAGAGTGTCAGAGATACTGCATGGGCTGATGCATGTGGTGGACTTTAGCCTGAATTGGCTGACAAGTTGCACACTCCCACAATGCATAGGATTTTGGTGCCAACAACTTTAAAATGGAAGGCATGTGGAAACTCATCCCTCTTTTTTGCATTCTCCGTGCTTGCATGATCAGGAGCCAGCTTGCAGAGGCTGAGTTCCACATGCTGGACATGTACCTTGACAGCAGCAGGACCACGGGACACTGCAGCCCACACATAACATGGATCTGAGACCTCGCCCATTCTCTCGCTCTGAGAGCAGCACACAGATGCACAGGATGGGAACATTCACTAGTCCCATGGATGGAGCCCCTCACAGGACCTGCTGCAGTGATTTCACAGCTGCCCCAGCCCTGGGAAGGAAGGAAGCTGTAGCCAGGCAATAGAGACACCTTCCTAACAAGTGCACACTTCAGAGAGTGAGAGAGCCTGAAGCTGGAGAGACGATCTGTTCAAGTAACAGCCCTCGGCCCCGGGAAGACAGCTAAGAATGGAGCCAGGTGTCTGGACACTGAGCAGGGTGTCTGGACACTGATTCTGGTCCCAGGGGTGGCTGACGTTTTTCTGTATTTTGCAGAAGAAAATAATTTGGAGCCAGGGGCTTTACACTCACCCAAACTGCGTAACCATTTAATAAAGACCTTTCTCCTTCCCCACCAATTATTGTGTTATGCTTGTGTATGGCAGCAGGCAGCCAAATCACACTTTGTTCAGTAATATAATCAGTAGTCAAAGTCAGTGTGCCGTAGCAATGACGTTTCTGTATCTGGCAATCTGTTTCAATGGAAGAATATGTAACCACATAGCCTGAGTAGCAGAAATAAGGCCTCATGAGCCCTCTTAGCCCTTTCATCTGGCCACCCCACAAACCTGTTCCAAACCAGTGTTGACCAGAAAAGCCACATGCTGGTAACAGGGCTGTTTCCAAGCACTTGCCCCAGGGCTTAGATCGGATGATACTCAACCCTCCGCATTCATTCCTGTGCCCAAAGCTAGGATTCCTGGCTTCAGTAATGGCTTGGTTTATCCTATAGGTCAGTGAAACATTGGAATTCATTTGAAGACAGCGGAGTAGATCAGGGAAACACTGAGGTTCAAGCAGAGATTGGAACCAGAAACTGGAGTATTGTTAAGAACCTAGAAATTCTGCCTCCTCAGCAATTCTGTTTATTCGCTCCCCTTACTGTCTTCAATTCACATAGCCTGAGATGACCACTGGACACCTCCCAAGTTCCTCTTACAGACCATAGCAAGAGTGACCCCACCCACATTCATTAACCTCTTTGTCTAGCTGAATCCTATTTCCAAATTCCTCTTGCCTGCTTGAACCAGTCCTACTACTATTTCCAGGCCCATGTCCAATTCCACTTTTTTCATAAAGACTTCTTTGCCTTCAAGGACACAGAAGCCTCCTATATACACATTTTGGTATGGTTATGTTATGTTGTATATTTTACAGTTCCCTGTATGTTTCTTGCACGTAAGTCTTAAGTTTCCAACTTACATATTAAATGACATACTAAGGATATATATTTTTCCTTCATCTTCCATAATACTTCCACCAAGTAGCCCTAGCCCATAGTAGATACTGAACTGCAATTTATACTTTTCTTTTCTTTTCTCCATTTTACTTTTCTGTTGCTGTGCTTTTGTTTAAAAAGGGTAAACCTTTAGGGATGAAATGTCCTTGCTGTGTTATCCTTCTCTAATTAGCAACCACCCTTCACAATCTGCTGCATACATTTAAAAGGATTTTGAAATCAGACATTTATAATGGGTGCTAAACAGAATCTGATAAATCAATGCCACCAGCAGAATGCTGTGCTGACTGACAGACACAGCACCATTGTCAAGACTTGCAAATTACCCTTGGCTCTTCAAATAGTCAATGCATAACTCCAGGCAAAGCTTAATTATCACCTCTTAATATAAGAATAATATGCTTCTGGTGAAGATGGATGTGTAGGTAGACTTGCTTCATTCACATCCTCACGCAACCACAAAAAGGAATAACAACTAAATCTCAAAACAAATAACACCCAGAACTGTCAGAAAATCGATTGCATGGAAGTCCAACAACCAAGGATTTAAAGAAGCCACATTTATCCAGACTGGGATTTCTGCCCATCCAGAGGGGCAGAAATACGGAGATGGGGTGGAGAAGCAGGGAGACGCATTACGGTGTGGAGAGGCAATGGCAGAAAAGCATGGGAGGTCCCACATTCACATGTGGTGGATAAAATTGGGAGGGATACCTTGGGAGCAAGCAACCACAGCCTCTGGCCAGACCACACAGCCCAGGGTTCCAGTGCTGGGGCGATAAATCCCTATAACTTCCATATGTAAAAACCAGTGGGGTTTGGGGCAGATGAAGAAACTCCTGGATTTTTAGGAAACTTCACTTAAAGGGCCCGCACAGACTTAAAACATGCAAACCCACCCACTCTGGGATTCAACACCAGGGCAACAGCTGGAAAGGTGCCTATCACACACTGGGAGTGGGTGAAATGACTGGAAATGGGGCTAGTGCCAGACAACCCCCAGAAGCCAGGCAGCAGTGCAGTCCCCTCTCTGAGCCCTCCTCCCACACAGAACTACAAAGTGGTGAAACGGGTTGCCCCCATCACGGCTACTACCTAAGTCTCTGCCCCACACAGTTTACTGGTGCCTTTTACAAGGAGTAAAAGCAGCTCTATCTAATACACAGAAACAAACAGAGGAAGGCTGCCAAATTGAGGAGACAAAGAAATATGGCCCAACTGAAAGAGGAGAACAAAGCTCCAGAAAAAGAACTAAATGAAACGGAGATATCCAACCTATCAAATTCAGAGTTCAAAACACTGGTGATAAGGATGCTCAGAGAACTCATTGAGTATAGCAAAAGCATAAAGGAAGAAATGAAGGCTACATTAAGTGAAATAAAGAAAAATCCACAGGGAACCAACAGTGAAGGGAAGGCAGCTGGGGTTCAAATCAATGATTTGGAGCATAAGGAAGAAATAAACATTCAACCAGAACAGAAAGAAGAACCAAGAAATAAAAAAAATGAAAATAGTATAAGACTTTGGGACATCTCCAAATGTGCCAACATCT